TTTGGGCCCAAAGACCATACTATAAACAAAAGCAGACGCAGACCTACAACGACTACACCTATACTCTAAATCGATCAAGCAGATAAAACCAGCACCTGCACATTGCTGGATGCCCAATCAACCCACCCCCCATACGCAAGTTGCAAACAAACATGATAAGCGAGTGGTATACTTCATACCTACATACATACATGCATGCATACCTAGACACCTACATACTGCGTATAGGTACGTCTATACGCCTGCATATGATGTAGCAGGAAATGTCGATCTTTCCATCTACCTACCTACCTATCTATCTATCCTTCTACTGGTCTATCTGAATCTATTTGTTCTCTATCCATCCATCTACTATCGATCAATCTATCTCTAGATGTCTCTATCTCCGTCTCCCTATATGATTCTCTGTCTATGCTTACCGATTTCTATCCATCCCTAGCTATCTCTATCTATCTTTATCTGTCTGTGGCTATGTAACTATCTATCAATCTATCTATCTANNCTACCTCCCTACCTACCTATCTATCTGGCTATGTCTCTACCAATCGATGTATCGACCCATCGATCTATCCCTCTTGCGGATAATCTATCCATACAACCACACATCTATCCATAGAAAGCTCCAGCTGGCCTCGATTCACAAGGGTCGGCCATGCCATGGGCTCAGGGCACTTAGGGCCTAATGGGGGTTTATTACTCTTGCTGGCGGTTTAGGGTTGGGGCTTTAAGAGTGTGTGGACTACGAGGGGAAGTTATCTACGGTTTAGGGAGCGTAAGCAAAAAGGACTACCATTTATCGGCTTTTCATGCTTGGGTGTAGAAGCTTGCTTTTGTAGTGTAAACGCTAGTGCTTACATAATTATATTCAGCTTGGAACTTGTAGGTTTATGGCTTGTAGGGCTTGGTGGGTGTAGGGTTTGAGGTTGGCGGTTTACAGGGCTTGCGGATTCCATAGAGGCCCTGTTTCATCACTATACTGTGGCTAAGTGGCTATAGTTTGGGCTCGGGCCTAAAGACAGCAAATGAGCATCTGCAAGCCGGCACTTACTGCTAAAACAGGTAATTACTGCTGGGCATCAGGAAAGCTATCACCGAGCATTAAAAGGGCCTGGGGAACACTCCGGCAAATGATTTAGTCGCCTACATCTTCTTGCGCTACCCCAACCCCCCAAGTACCTACTA